CGGATGAATTCCCGATACCTTGGCCAGTTTCTTCTGATATGTCAGTCTTTTCTCTTCCAGTTCGTTCTATTGTACTGCTCAAATATGTCGATGGCTTGCTCTTTGTCGGCTATAGTTTTCTCTCCTGCTGCTGTGTGGTAACTTGTTGAATCTCTTAATTATCTGATATTGTGGTTTGGACTCGATCTCTCCTCGTTGCTTTTTGCTACAAGTCGTTTGTGATTATTCCGGTTTTGATGAACCCAGTTGGTTGGCTATCCATGATGAACTTGTGGATGTGAGGTAGTTCATTGTGGCTTGAGCGAGTATTCGGTTTGAAAGTTTGAAAGACTACCTAGGTAAGGATGCTTGGTTTGGTAAAGGGAAGAGGTGAGCCTCTGGCTGGCTAAATACAGGTGGTGGGGTCAGGGTGCTCCTTCCCAGCCTAACAGGTTGCTTGGGAGTTTGGATTAGTGTGAATTAGCTCTGGGAATGAGTCTGGATGGCGTTGCCGTTGTCCCGTGAGAATGTGAAACCTTGACCGTGTGCTTTGTCTGGGTGTCGTAAAACCATTGATGGACTAGAGAGTATCCCAGCGAGAAGAAAATTACTTGGGAACTTTGCCATTTATCGCCGGAAGATTTCCTATAAAATCAAAAATCTCTCCTAGAGAGAAAGTCGAAACCCAACCGAGGTCAAACAAGTAGACGCGACGGTCTATGACCAGGAAGTTACCCATATGTTGTATATAAGTGGTGCTAGGCTGTGTACAAGTACATACCTAGGTAAGGGAAGGTTGTCCTTTTTTGCACACCACACCACAAGGATGCACCCATCTCTCAAGATATTCCGCAAGCCTCTCCCCTTTGTACTGAAATCAAAATGGCTATCGACACACAATCAAAAGAGAGATTAATCGATCTCTCGTGCTTGCCTCACATGTTCTCTGTGAGGTCAGCACTAAGCATCCAAACACCATCGTTAATGAGTTTCCAAGTACACAAATTCTTTAAGAATTAATATCGATATATTTGGCAATCGAAAAGGTGTCGGTGGTAGCACAACAACTTGTCGGCCAGCACAGCCGCCTTGTCGCCCCCAAGAATCGGGACGAGAGCGCCGTCCTCAGTGACGTGTCGACAATGTCTCTACATGAAAATAGAAAACCGTGAGGAACATCTAAAAACCGGAGATAACACTGCATATCACCGCCGGATATCAAGTCAAACGCCGGAGGTGGACAAACAAACATCAGGCGGACGAGGTACCCGATCAGCCACAGACAATCCATCTAACCCTAACCCTGTGTGTCTCCTCTTGTCATGACCTCGACGCAGATGTGCAGTATTTAGAAGAAACAAAGTCCATTTGGATCAGATGAGACGGAAAATCATCCAATCTCATGGGAAGCATTAGGTAGTTCTTCAAACGACTACAAAATACGTTGAAAAACTTGGGATCAAACCGGGGGCCCCCACCTTGCCCCGCCGCCCGGAGCAATCTCTGCACAGTGATAAGCCCTGCGGCCACTGTCACCCCCCGGCGCCGTGGGAGCCGATGCATGATGTAACTCGACGACACGGTCGGATCCCGAGCTCAGGTCCCCTCAGAATAGCAGCTCTCTGACTGCCGGCAGTGCGCCAGTACCTGCATCGGTCAATTGCACGCTCGCGCCTCTGTTTGTTCTTCCACCGCTCATCGCTAGGCTACAAAAGACAAGATAGGGAGGGGACGCCATAGGCAAGCGCGGGCTTCCGCCAACAAAGCGTTTGCCCACGACCTCGACGACGACGACTTTGGCGATTTCCACGACAACTACAACCCGGATTTTAGCGTCCAGTCTAGGAGACCAAAAGGTAAAGCACCCAAGAAGAAGACCCGCAACAGACGACACAAGATGGGCCAGGAGTCGTCCGTCATCAGCGATGACACGCCCACCGAGACGCTCCGCGAGCGCAGCCTCGCTGCCGTGGCCGAGTACATCACGTCGGGCAAGGCCAAGCGTATCGTCGTCATGACGGGCGCTGGCATTTCCACCGCCGCAGGCAGTATGTTTTTCTTCTAACTATCTCGAGCCTCACTAACTGTCTAGTCCCCGACTTCCGCTCCCCGGAGACTGGCCTCTACGCCAACCTGGCCAAGCTCAACCTGCCCCGGCCCGAGTCGGTCTTTGACCTGCTCTTCTTCAAGGAGAACCCCAAGCCGTTTTATGTGCTGGCCAAGGACCTCTACCCGGGCAACTTCCACCCGACCATCTCGCACGTCTTTATCAGCTTGCTCGCCAAGAAGGGCCTGCTGCACCAGCTCTACACCCAGAACATCGACTGTCTGGAGCGCGCCGCCGGGATTCCCCCGGAGCTCATTGTTGAGGCTCACGGCAGCTTCGCCAACCAGCGCTGCATAGAGTGCAAGACGCCCTTCCCGGCCGATCGGATGCGCGAGCATGTTGCCCGCGCCGAGGTGCCGCGGTGCATCCGGGGCGCTGAATGCGGCGGTCTGGTGAAGCCCGACATTGTTTTCTTCCACGAGGCGCTGCCGATGTTGTTCTACGAGCGCAAGGACCTGATTTCTTCGGCCGACCTTGCTCTGGTCATGGGCACCAGTCTACAGGTGCATCCGTTTGCCAGTCTGCCGAACTACGTCCCCGAGGGCGTGCCGCGCGTGCTGTTCAACCTCGAGCGTGTGGGCGGGCTTGGGACTCAGGCGGATGATGTGCTTGAGCTGGGCGACTGCGACACGGGTGTGCGGAAGCTGGCCGACCAGCTTGGCTGGCGCGAGGAGCTCGAGAAGGAGTGGCGGGATCTGATCGGTGAGGAGGAGGCGCTGAAGCAGCTCACCGGGGCGTGGAAGCGGGCCGAGGAGCTTCAGGATGAGGTGGAGAAGCTGGCTGATGAGGTCGAGGAGGTTCTTAAGATGGACAGCCCGGTCCCGAGAACACCAGAGGAGCCGGCAGAGTCGGAGGAGAGAGTCAAGGAGCGGGATGATACCAAAGCTGAGCCGGGAACGGGGACGAAAAAGGTTGAGGAGATGCCGACGGGTAGTTCTGAGGAGATACCGAAGCAGAACGGCGTGGCACTCTCGGATAAGACGTTGCCATTGCTTTGAAGAGGCTTGGTATATGGTCATGACATTTCCTTATGGGTCTCGGCTGGGTATGAGGTTTCAGGGTCAGTTAGTCTAATCTTTCTTCGTGGCCTCCTGGTGAATGTGAGGTCTGTTCTTCCACCATGGTTCTCGCCTCCCTCGGGTGGTTAGTCTTTCACTGGCAGGACATGTCGAGTGATAGCAGGTAAGTGGGCTAACATTGGAACAACTCTTTTCAGACTGTTGCAAACATCTTTTTCCCAGACACAGCTGCAGATGCTCGAGGAACTTGAGTGCGGGCCGAACACCAACGTTGAGACATGCTAAGATGTCTTTGTTCTCGAGTTCACAATACCCATTGTTCACAACCACTGTCCATTATGAAGACTATATATAACCACCAACACCCCTCTCACTCTCCCCCCTCCCCTCACCATCTCGTCCATATCTCCGTCGAGACCGTGATATTCGTACCTGTTGATCCCCATCATCATCTTTCTACGGAAATCACATCCCCCCAAGTCTCCCAAGTCTCCCGAAGAGAAGAGAAGACATGGCGCCCCCCGGGAACCATCCCCAAGGTGGGGTGGGCGACGACTCCGACATGGACGACCAAGAGGCCATCCAAACCAGGACCCTCGCCCGTCAACGTCGTCATCAAGCGCGGCGCCAGAGGACGATCACATTCCAGGAACCACAGCAGGGACCACGGGGACGACAGCGGGGACCACCACGTTCCCCTCGCGGCTCCGAAATCCTCTGGCAGTGTCACGATGCCTACCGCGCCAAGCGCGAGGGACCAACAATGCCCCCTTGCCTCCCGGAGGAGGCAACCATATCGTTTGGTAAGATTCCCATCCCCCTGGTACTACTAACCCTGTAGGTGGTGGTACTACATCGTCTACAAAAGTAGTATCAGCCTTGACGGCCGGCCTCCTCCAACAGTCCGAGTCGTCGTCCTCACCACCCTCTCGGTGCCAGACTGTTGATAAAAGCTCCTCCTGCCGCTTCCTCCAGCCGAGGACACCACCGCCCCGTCCTGAATTCAGAGGGACCGCCGCAACCGTCCCTCCGATCCCCATCTTTCCTCACCCTCCTCCCCCTCCCCCTGAGCCACAGCAGGAACAACAACCTGTGTTCCTGCCATGTCTCAAACCCGGGACTGAGCTTACCAGTGTAAGTGACTGGTCCTGCTGCCGGTGCGGCTTCGTCAACTCCAGGTTTGAGAGACGATGTCCCGCGTCCGCCTGTCTGCACGTGCGCGATGCGCATGGTGGGTTCTGCTGTCTGAGGGGAGACTTTGCCGAGACGGTCTTGGGCGGGTTTGTGAGGGGGAAGAGGGTGGAGATGGTCAGACGGCTTGGGAGTGTTTTGTTTGACTGGGAGTTTGTTTCTTCTTCTGACTGAAGAGTAGTTTTTGTAAATTATTCTTCTTATTTTTTGGGGGGAACGAAGGTAAGGAAAGGACCTGGAGGTAGGTAAGGTAGGTAGGTGTTGCGTGGTCGTGCTTGAGTTGTTACGAGCAATGTACCTACCTTACCTGTCATCTATGTTTGAAACATTCATGAATAACACTATTATAAATTCGACTTATTCGCAACTATCAGTGAAATATAAAATATATGCAGAGTAAAAAACGGGAAGGTGTGGGCCGACGAGGTGTGATGTTGGAGGATCCAATGACACAAGCAGTCTCAACAACAATGACATTGTTCACAAACAATCGCACCATAAGTTTTACCTAACAATAACAACGAACACGCAATCAACAAAAAGTGTATTAAACACATTACTCATCCCTGAGAACAAGAAAACAGCAGCAGTCCAAGTGCGCGGCTGCACGCCCAACATACCATGACCGACCGACCAGACTAAATAACCCCGACCAAAAAAGGGCATGATTCGAAGGGATTAACAAAAAAGCACAAAAAAACGAGATCCCGCACCGGGGTTTGAACCCGGGCCGTCAGAGATTTCGAAGTGGTGTGTGACCCTTGAAAATCTGATATCCTAACCACTAGACGATACGGGAGTCGGACTGGTTGTTGTTTCGTTGCTTCCTCAAACTGGTATATATAACCCACAAACGGCCACCCTAGGTGTGCACATACCATTGGAATGGTGTATTGCTTATGCGCGCGGTGTTCTTGATGGCGCAAATTTGGACTTTGTGCTTGGTTATCTGGTGGAGGGAGGACTTGGCTCTCTCGCTCCTTCCCACACTCTCCACCATGTCCATGGACACTATATTTGAAGCCAGGTCACGGGGCATGCAAAAAAAGCCCCTCCTAAGAAGAAGCGTTTAATCCATCGCCTCGCCGTGCCAGATAGATGACTCTCGAAAGAGAAACCACGAATGGGAACCTGGGTCCACAACCGACCGGTCCGGTAATCTATCTAAGCATCCATACCAATTTAACCCTACACATTCTCGGTTGTCTGTCCAACAACTCCAGCCCGGCATCCCTTCCTTCTCTCTTTGTATCACAAGACTTCCATTAGAAGAATACATCCGGATGTGTCTGCGCAAGTAAGCGATGTACTCATGTACTCGTGTGTTTTATTTGCAATCTATCCAACCAACCCATAACCCATCATAGTCGGGCGGAGCTTTTGAGAGAACAGACTGTCGACGACAGCAAGGCAGGAAGGGGAGATAAGGTAAACCGTCCACTCATCCAATGGCCCTTCGCACCAAACAACACCCCCCCCCCTTCTTTTTCCTCACCTCCATGGATGGTATTTTCATCTTCATCACATCCATCATTCATCATCCATCGTCCTTGCATACACATCTCCCCTACCAAGTCACCAACCCCCTCGCCCTCCCCTTCCACACCGCCGCCCGCTAACACATCCACCACACATCTCATCCACATCCCCTCCCTCCTTCCTGCCCCGTCCATCGACCCTACCCAAACCATCATACCATCATAGAGAGAGCCCATCACAGAGCAGATATACACCCAGAAAAGAGCACAATGCAATCTCGGTCTCGGTCTCAGTCTCAGTCGAATTCATATCACATTCCATTCTCTCCCAATTCCTTCTCTCAACAAAAAACCCTTCTTCATAAGATATAACCCCCCCGCTAAAATATACTCACTCCCCTCATCATCAACCCTTGATCCCTCAGGGAAAAAAAACAAGAATGCTATTGCTTCCTTCCCCCGGCTACTGGCTACCCTCCCCTTTTAAACAAACTTGGCCATGGAATCAAAACCCCAAACACCAACTCCTACTCCAAACCACAATCACAACCAAAAGAACCCATGATACACAAGCACAATGACACACCAAACGATCGACTTGCCACAGAGACAAAAAAAGACCTCGACACAGAAAAAAAAAAAGAAAATGTAGCCCATAGTCCGTACAAAGAAAAAACATGTGGTTGTCTGCTGCTAGCCCAGCGTATCAAGTCCCAAGAAGCCCCCAAGTCGCAAGTCGCAAGTCGCAAGTCGCAAGTCGCTTAAATACCCGAAGACGACGCGCGCTCCGCTCTTATTATCCCTATCCTTGTTCCTCATCATCATTCCTCGCGCCATCCCATACCAAAAACCCAATTCATTGCAAAGAGTCGTAGTGATGTCATCAAGGTAGCCCCCCAAATCTCAACCCTCCAGCTTGGACTGTGGCTGCCATCCATTAAGATACGCCATCAAGCCCATCCCAAAAAGCACCACCCCAATCATCGACGCATACGGTAACGTTTGTATTATCGCCGCGTCCGGTGTCGACGTCGCCAGTTTGCTCGACGCCGGCGTGATGGTGTTCGCTCGTGAGAGTGTGGGCGCCTCTGCTGGCTCTTCTGCCGGCGCCTCTTCCTCTCCGGCAGGCTTGGTAGCCGTGCCGTTTTGGACCGGCAACACCTCGACCTCTTTGCCGCGGCTCGCCGGCCGTGATCGTCTCCTCGATGGCGAACGTGCCTTCCGCTCCGCTGCTTCTCTATCCTTCTCATCCCGTAGCCGGATCTGTTCCACCATCTCGGCCAGCGTCTTGCGATCAGCATCGCGCTCAGCCTCGGCCTTCTCGGCCCGCATTCGAAAAGCCTCAAGCTGCTCCCTCAAACCCGTCATCTCGGAAGCCATCGTATCGATGCGTGCCTGGAACATCGCAGCCAATGCCTCAATCTTGTCGGGCTGGGGAGACGACTGTTTCGGACTTTCCACCGGCTCGGTAGGTTCGGGAGTTGCAGGACGCTCGGCCGGCGAATCGAAAGCCTGCTCCAACTCGGAATGGCCGTTAACGACAGGCGCAGCCGCAGACCCGTTCATGGCGTGGGCGCTCTCCTCCATCTTCTGCATCATATCTTCGGCGAGCTGTCGAGCCTCACGCTCCTTATTCAGTGTTTCCTCGAGATCTCGTACACGCGCCGTATAGCTGTCAAGCTCCTTCTTGGTATTGGCAAGCGCCTCGGTGAGCTGCATGATCTGGTTGAGGCTGTTGTCCGGGCGAATCGGTGACGTGTTGGAAGGGTGTGACTTTGGACGCTCGGTCGTCCCGCGCTTAAGCGAAGGTATCTCGGAAGGTCTCGAAATATCGGGTTTCTCGGGAAGCGGCTGCGACGGCGGCGGAGCGGGTGGTTCGGAGAATCGCGTCTTGCCGCCATCAGATCGGAAAGAAATATTTCCATTGGTGATCTGGGTCTTGGGAGGTTCCGGGGCTTCGGGCTTATCCTGGGTCTTTAAATCCTCCTTGGTCAGGAGGGCATCGATAAACTGGCTCGTCCGAGCCAGGTCTTGGTGTTGAAGTCGCGCATTCCGCATCTCGGCCTATCGTCTGTCAGCTACTCGTCGCGCACAACATGATGGTCAAACTTACATGAAGCTTCTTCACAATATGTTCCGTGGTTATCGGACTCATCCAGTACTGTCGCTGCGGCGCCATTCCGTTGGCAGGCCCTGCCATATTCGCGGGAGGCATGCGACCGCCGTTGGCCATTGAAGCTTGGTTTGCTGGTCGACCCTTGAGAGGGGTTCCTGCGACTGGCATCATCATCCCGCCGTTGGAGGGGTCGAGATCGCCAAAAGGCATTTCGAGCGGGTTGTTGGATGGGCTGACGAAACCAGCGTGCTCGACTTTTGCCGCGACCTTGTGGTGAACAACGGTTTTTTGATCCTCACTAACGATGTCGATTCCGAGTTCAAGGTGATCTTGCGGTTGCAGCTCGTGCGGTTCTGACTCGCGATTTTCGGGTGATAACCGCGTCCCATTGACAAATGTGCCGTTGGAGGATTTGACATCACGAATCCATATTTTCCCACTACCATCGGCCCAAACCTCGGCGTGCTGCCTTGAAAGGACTTTGCTGTCAAAGAAGCCGTTGACCGGCGTAGGCACCGTCTTGGCATTTGTCTGCCGCCCAATTCTCAGCGTATCCGGGTAAAACGGAACCGATATCGTCTTGCGGTCGAAGCTGCCGTTGAGCGAGAGAAGGGAAAGTACTGGTTGTCGGCCGGGAGCAACACCTTCCGGCCCGGCTCTGGATAAGCCATTTTGCGACATGACATGGCCCTGCTGGGCGAGGCCCGACGGCGCTGCACCATTTACGCCGTTGACCACGGGCGGTCGGGCCGGTGTATTTCGAGAGAACTCTGTTCCTTCTACTTGTTTCCCATTCGCCCAGCCCTTGGACTGTGGTGGTCTCTTTCGGGTCGTGGCATTTGGCCAGGCGCCCGACTCGCCCGCTGAGCCCCCGTTGGGTTGAGAAGTCGAGATGACGGTAGAGGTCGATGAGGTAGACCCTGTCGACGACACCGACGACGAAGAGTTGGTCCGCTGGATGGTTTTGCGTCCGAACATGTTGGATCCTCGAAAATCATCTGCGTTCATCGGATTTGTAGTCTGGCCGACACTAGCCCATCCCGGCCGGTTGAGATTCGCAAAGCTGGGCGGAGCTGCGACAGCCGTCATGGGTACAGCGTCGTCGAACGGTCGAGGGTGGTCAGGATGAGTGGCGTGCGACAACGCTGCAAGAGGGGAACTGCAATCGACGTCGTTCCCAAAGCCCCCTCATGCGTGTATCAATCGATGCAATATATGTCGGTCGCAATACAATCAAAAAGGGCTGTCGAGCCTCGATTTCGTGACGAGCGTGCGTCGCGACGGGCTGCGGAGACGTCGATGTCAGTACTGACGTCGCGCTCAGTCGCACTCGTCGCCCGGCATTGGGGCGCCGCGAACAATGCAGCGAGCGAGCAAGTGCCGCAAAAGGGGCCCTAATGAAATCAAGGACAGCTGGCACGTACCTAACAATGATGGCGAATTCTGAGCGGGATCGCGGGGTGGCAAAGGGGCTTGCAAAGCGATTTCGTCTGAGGAGTGAGGTTGGCAAGATTTTGAGGCGAGGTCTGTCTCCTGGCCTCCCAAGCGCTTAGCGAGGAGGAAGGGGCCAGAAAGCGATCAGCGCGCACGCGCCAGCCAGGCTTTCGTCTTCGCTACTTGCGCTCCTGGCCGCCGTTGCCCGAAATGGTCGGTCAAATCAAACAAATCCGCTCTTCTGCCAGCCCAGACTACTCAGCGCTGCAATCTGGACCGCTGCGAGGCTACAGGCGAATATTTTTGTGTCTTGATCCACCTCTTGAGCTGTCGAGACCCGCCAGATCCAGGACTGGAGATGTCACGTGCGTCTCCCCACTCGTCTCGGGGAGCGGAGGAGTTGGGATGTTGGCCCGAGCGTCTGGCCTGAGCTCCTCCTGTCCTGTCTCCGCTGTTCCTTCTCTTGTGCAGCTTCAAAGCAGAGCTCTGTCCAAGACTGCTTGATAACACAGATATAAAATTGGTTACAATGATCCTTGGAATGTATTTTACTAATTGTTAGTTCATATTTAACTTGAAGTGCTTCACTTTTGATTTTGGAAAAAATCAAGAATTAAAAACAGAAGAACCGTCAGGAACATCAGCTTCGCTTTGCTTCGGCCGGTTGACATGAGGCCCGTGCACATTTGTTCGCCCGCAAGTGCGCAACTGCAACTGCAACTGCTCTTTCCCGCGATCGCATTTGCTTCGTTCGGCCCGCAGCACACCACC